ACCAAAATCACGCGAAACCTTTTTTGAAAAAATTTGGAATGAATCACGAAATCGTAATTTTTGAAAATTCGAGAGCATGGCGCAGCAAGAAGAGGTCTTTTAGACAGAGCCAACCGTGCCCGGAGAACAATGGTTTATTGTTGGACTCTGAAATAAGATTATTAAGAATTGACCAAAAAAACAAAATTTATTTTGATTCATTGGATAATATTAAAAATTTAATTTTGATATATAAAAATATAGAAAAAAGCTTAAATTTATTTATATGAAGTCGTATACTTAAATGAGTAAAATTATAAATTTTCTTATGTCATTTGAAAAAAAATGGGTAGAGAATTTTTAAGTGTGATATTTTAAATGGATAAAGAAAATCCTAAAAGTGGATAAGTTTTCAAAAATTACTATTAGATTTCCCTACCACTTCAACTAGAATTATCCAGGAGGCCTACATAAATAATAATATAATTACCATTTTTACAATATTTGATGGAAAGGGTTTTAATTTGTTTAGCTTCTCCAATGGAATATCAGCTTCACGTAATTTTAAGTCAAAGTTTATTTGCTCATTATCAGTTACAATTTGTCTGCAAGGTTGTCTGTCTTGCAATGATACCACTTTCTTTTAATCTAGATGATAATCCAATGTACATTTTCTATCACGATTAGAATTTCTTATTATTATATGATCAGCTGCGGAAATACTCCCAATCAAGAAATAATAATAGTATGTATCCTATTAATAAAAAAATTACCCTTTCTACTAATATTATTTTTATAATTAAAAATTAAAAAATATATTCCGTAATATAAATATATATCCTGTAATATAAAAAAGCTTTTATTGTTTATAATCAATGTATACCTTCTAATGATTATATCAATATATACTATTAATAAAAGATTTTATAATTTATCTTGCATCAGTGTATACTATTACTATCACCATCATTTTGCTTATTTTGCTATCACTAAAGAATATTCTTTAAAAAATATTTATGTTTATATATTATATATTTTGCTTTCTAAATATATAAAAAATTTTACGACGACGGATGGATGATAATAATCATCTAACAATATTTTGATATTTTGTGTAATTTTAATTCGCATCAAATATATAACACGCGCGTAATAATAATTAATCAGTTAACAAAAAATAAACAATGATCGAAACAAAAGAATTTGGAAGGTGCCACTGGGTAAGTGTCATTATTATGGTTTAAAAGTATTTATGAAGAAAATAATTATTTCTACATTATTTACAATCATTTTCTTTAAGAAAAAGTAGAAGAGAAGTTTTTAAGATAAAAAAAAAAACAATAATAGAATTGAAAAAATAACTAGATAAAGATCTCATAACACATACATATATAGAGCTTGTATCTATAATTGATTTTTCAGAGATCCGGCGGGATATTAAGATCAAAATTTCGGATTAGGATAAACAAAATCAATATTAATATCCGAGTTTACCCGAATTTATTTGTTTGTAGTGGTACTATACGAGATTTTTTGTAATATGAACAATTAATTTTGTTTTTTTTTTGGTATAAATAAATAATACAATAATGTTAAGGAAAAATATTATAGATTTATTTTGATTCTGATGATAATTTTGAACAAGCAAATATTAGTGATTATGATATGATATAGTTTTAGGATCTAATAATTCAACATCTAACACTAATGATAGTAGTACTACTGAGATTAGATAACAATTCGTTAATAATTAAATATTTTTAAATTCTATAATTAACATGTCTATTTTTTGATCGTGTTCAAGATGAGAATACCTAACGATTTGGGTGAAGTTTGTAAGCATCTGTGAGGATCAATTGGGAATTCAATTAATCATTTGTCTAATTTTCATGGAATTAATTACCAAAGGGAAACTATAAAGAAAAAAAATTCTTTTAAACCAACGGTTGAAACTCGACGGATATCCAGATATGTTTTAACAACTAAAATTCGGATTTCAAGTGGCTTTGATCAATTAAGATATGATCATACCGCTTGCATGATTATTAAAGATCATTCTAATTAAGTAAATAAGACGATCATTAGCCTTTCGAAATTTTCAATTTTTATAGACATATATAAAATGGTTTTAACTTTGAAGCCTTATAACTCACAAAATAAAAAAACAAACCGATGAAAATGAAGCTTAGGTCTTTAATTTCGATTTATCGGATTAATTTTTTCTTTTTCTTTTTCTTTTCCTTTTTAAATAAGCTTTTAAAATCATGTGATAATCATTGACCATTATAGATGTCCTGCACTATAAGCTTGTATTTTTTTATTTAAATTACCTTTTTCTTCTATCTGGAGGCCTACGGACCCGCATCAAATCATAATTTTTAAACCCTAACCCAACCCATATACAAAAAAATTACCAACCTGGACCCAGACTAACCCGTATCAACCAGTTTTATAAAAGATCAAAAAAAATTTATTAATATTTAACAAATCACCTATATTTAACATTATATATATTTAACAGAATATTAGTATTTATATTTATATATAAAGTTAACATTTATTAAAATGCACTTCGCAACACAAGTATACTGTCCACTATTTATAGGTTTAAATTCGTATGAAGTTGATTAACATTTAATCCTGGTGCACTAAATTCTTTCTCACTTGATGCACTAGAAGAGGGAAATGAAGGATAATAAGCATTTAACATTGCAAGTTTTGGATATTGGGAGTTAATGATCTTTCCACCATTGTAATATATCCAAATCCAAATCCTTTTGTATTTTCAATAATAACTACTGATCAATCTCATCTGTATTGTTTTTTTCATCTTTATCACTCAAATCATAATATTGATTAAAATCTAAAAAATTCATATTTGATTTTTTTGATTTTTTTTGGTGATCTTTCTCTTCCAACAATTTCATTATTAGGATTATTATCACCATCACAATCATCACAATCATCGCCATTATTATTTTGAACTGGTATATCAAACCGTTAATTTCTAATTTCGTTTTCTACCTAATTAGCATCATTAAGATCTAGGATTTTTAACTGTTTCATGCGTGGATCAAAGAAAATGGTTAATTGGTGTAAAATCATTAATTATAATCTTTTCAATGATTTTTTCAGCAACAACTATCTTTCATTTGCTTTACAATGCATTAATAATATTTTATATCAAGGAATTATATACTAAATGTAATGTAGATTGTTTAGAAGCTTCTAGAAATTGACTTGCTTTTTTAAACTTCTTTGGGAATATTACTAAATTTTGTAATGTTTGCAAATCCACATTTTCAAGTTTATTCAACTCATATCTTTCTTCAAGAAGATTATAAATTGTTCATAAACAGATTTGAGCATTCTAATTTATTGTTTCACTTTGTTTTATATTCTTGTTTGAATGTTTTTTTCCAATCTGGAATACAAAGAACTTTGTTGAAAAATGTAACTAATGATTTACAACCATTAATTGTATTTATTATAGAAGATAGTTGAAAATTGTCTTCTTTGAAAGAAGTATCTAACACTATTTTAATTTTTAAAAAAAAAAATTATTATTATGAGCTAAGCAGGCCAAGTGGTCATAAGCATGAAAAGTAGCAACAAAATTAGAACCAGAATCAGTTACAAAGGCAATCTTTTCATATTAGTGCTTGGAAAAAGATTATACCCTCTCAATATATTAAAGACAGTTCTTCTAGTATTTTCAGCTGTATGATTGTTTTCAAGAAATTTAACAGCAGCTAGGACCTGATATTTCAAATCCCAATTCTCAATATAATGAACAGTCGATGAATTTCATTGTAATCATCAGTCCATAAATCTGTAGTAAAAGCACCACCAGTTCTTTGGAAAACATCAGTCAACTTTCCAGCCAATGATGATTTGATTGATTCTGCTGCTTTTATTACATACATTTCTAAATACAGTTGTTGGATGTGGTAACAAATCACAATTGATATATTTATCATTTCCTGCACAAACTCACAAAGCCCAGAACCAATGATAATTTCAAATGACATAAAGCTTTGCAAACAAATTTCATATTTTTTTTTGTTGATATTTCTTTAGCACTTACTGGAACCATTTTCTTTTCTAAAAAAGAAGTAATTCTTGGTTGATTGCTTAATACATGACATTTCAAGCTAGATGTTCCATCTTTATAATTATATTTATATATTTGAATGTAAGCAACATATACAATGTGTTTATTGATTGCATTTATAATTTCAACAGACCTCAGCCAAGCTTCGCTTTATTTTGCATTGTTTACATTTTTGTTCTAAATCTCCTTGTTGTTTGAATGTTACTTATAATAATAATAATAATAATAATAATAATTTTTTTCTCACAGTGTATTACACAATTTCTATTTGTAATACAAATTATACAAATTCAAAATTATTTATTTGATCGAATAATTCGAAATTATTTGTCTTATTATTAATTATTATTATTATTGTTTTATTCAAATTGCTTTTTTTATTTTTTTTATTCAAACAGAAGCCCAATTTTTGACACGCTGTAAATGCTGGGTATAAGTATCAACCAGGGTCCAGCCCGCATTCGTTAATTATTCCCACCCGTAATGCGGGACCGAGCCGGGTTGGGGTCCTCTACTTCTATCATCTATTAATTGTTATTCACTTCAAAATTTCTAGTTGGTAGAGTCAAGCATTCTTATTACCTATATATGTTAATTAGCTTGCTTGGCATTAAATAACTATTATAAAACATTAATGACTTAATTTAATTTCTAGTTTCGTTAGTCGAATTTCTCAATTGTACTCTTCCACTTTGGTCATCTCAATCTATAAAACTACTGATAGATCATCAAACAAGACAAATCCACGAACACCCACTTCTTTTTCATTTTGGAGGAAGAAGTTCTCAAATTTATCTCTGATATAGAAAATAATTTGGAATTTACAAGGACATCTCTTGTTGAAGCACAAATAGTTTCAAGAGAATCTGACATCTGGAGAGAATTTAACAATAATTTTTGGAGTATAATGAACCAGATAACTACTGAAATGAAATTAGGAAAATTTGGAACTAGCAGTGAATTGCTTTCACAGATGTCTGACCCTGACAAGGTATTTTTAATGGTAATGATTTAAAAATGTTATTGAAGTAAAGCATCCATGGATACTAGACATGGATGAACTGATAGCTTCATATCTTCAAAATGAATCTTCAAAAGTTGCAACAACAAGTGAGAACTGACAGGCACAGAAATTCCAATATTATAGTTGGACAAATTACAGGATACATGTCAGATAAGGAATTGAAATATGGAGCGATCACAACATATGAGAGAACATGGTTGGTGATGGGGATCAGGAGATTTATATGTATTTGCCCTTAATCTGTTTCCAATTTACACAGATAAAAAGTACAACTGAAGATGAAAGTGAGGATTCAGGATCTGACTATTCAATAAAGGAAAAAAACAAATAGTGACTCTAGTGATGTTAGGAAGAGACAACAGTATTTAGCAAGAGTTGGTATTGAACCCATCATATTAGATAATGCATTGATACAGAATAAAAAATATACTTGATAATGGGCAAACTAGAAAATGTATCAAAGGCAAAAGGATACTGGATCTATGTTAATGTTCAAAGGTATACTCTGCAAGTAAAAAAAACAGGGAGAATGACAATTTCCATTATATTTATTTTGTTGGAGTAAAAATTAATTGTGGATAATTAATAAATATATCATTAATACTTTTTAAACTACAAATTAAACCTTTCATTATCTTCACTTTCAGAGACAATTCTTGAGTAGAGTAAATGATGTATATATACAAAAGTTTGATAATTCTCACTAGCATTATAAGAACAAAAAAAAATTAATTATAAAAAAAGTAACAAATATTTGATTGACTTGATAATTTTTTTACCTTATTAATAATCTAATTTAATGAAAAAACAGTCCAAAGAACATTGTTAAACAGGTTTTATGTATGGCTTCTAGATAGATAGATGCTAGTACAGTTTGTAAGGGTATGTGTTAAGGTTTGTAGGGTGTAAAGTTTACGAATTTGTAATATGGTGCGCGCAGTCTGAAGACCTCCTAATTTTGTGCGAAATTTAAAAGTATAGATAGAACTAGGGTTGTTAATGACGTCACTTCAGAGTGGTTTATATTTTTGATTTGGAACGTGGATCGAGTAGAGTGGGTAATATAGTTGATTCGTCCAGTATTCTTTTATTTTGTATTTCATAGATTGTGCAATAATATATATACTGGTCCAGGTGATATTGGAGACCTATAAATACATCATTTATTACTTGGTACGCACTAGTAGATAATAAATTCGTTGCTTTAAATATTGGCTCAAACAGTTCTACCATTGAATCTACGCGCATCCATTCTTCTTTGTTAAATTAGGCAGCAAATTATTTCTCTCCCAATTTTCTTTCCTTCCTATGTTCTTTATGGTTCTGTGTTAATGCTCTTTTATTAGTTATAGTTTTTTTCTTGGTAAATTTCATAGATAATCCTTTCTTTCCATAGATAGGTTTCAAGTGCCCGAGTATTATTAATATTGAAACGTAAGGAGCAATTTCTTCGCCTTGTTCTTTCTTTAAAACACTTTTGATTGTACTATAATTCTTTGGTTCTGATGTAAATGAGTTCATATTAATTATTTTTATATAGGAGTAGTCCTATATATACCACTTAAGAAAAAACTCTTGGCGATACAAATGTTCACTTTGTCTGGTTTTGTTTCAGTATGCACCCCATATGAAGACAATGATTACGCTAATTATTTGATACTAAAAAATTATTCAATGAGTATGCCATTGTCTCGTTATTTTTATTGAAATTTATGTAAAATACTTTAGAAATAAATGGCTTTTCTCGTACCTTCTAAAATCAAATATTTGTTTTATTTTTCGAGTTAGAGGTGTTTGTAGCAGATAAAAGTCAGCCAAAATAACAAAATCCCGAAGGGCCTACTATAATATTTACTGTAAATAAATAAGCCTAAGCTTGTAGTAATTATGCCATCCATCAAATTTAATCAATCATAAATTAAATAGACAATGGCGGCAGATAATAATTACAAAAAAAAAGAAAAAAAATAGATGAGACGAGTGGAAGCAAGCAAGCACGAGGCCATGGTCGTTGATACTGCGTAACACCGTCACTAAAAGACATAATTTACTAATAAATATAAAAGTCTTTGCCTTTCTCTAAAGTATATATTGATATGTGTGCGTGTATGCGTGCTGCATGACCTTTAAAATATACACGTATACACATGATAAAATTAACAAATCTTGTTATAAATCTCGTTCTTTTTTCCCACTTCTCTCACCTCACTCACACACACTCTCTATGTCGGATTTTTATTGTTTACGTAATCTCTCAATATAATAATAATAACAATAACAACAACAACAATAAAATAATGTCAATAACGATAATGGCAATAATAAATTATTGACAGAATAAAAATATACACACACACAATACATAATATATACAAATTATTTTTACTTGAAAAAAAAAATCGATTATTTGTTTTGACGCATGTGCCAGTCAGCAGACGCCAGTGTTAAACATACACACAAAAATGATTTATTATAAGTCATAATGCATACAACATTTTCATTGTCAAAGATATATATTTTTTAAAAGTTCTAGATTCTATAACAATAACGCTAATTACCGAAAAATGATTAAATAGATGAATTTGATAAATTATAAAAGCTCAAAAGGTTGGAAAATATTTTTCGAAAAAAAATCTTTTTTTAAAAACAAAATAGTTATTTATAAATTTAGGAAAATAAAAGTTTTCAGATTGAATTTTTAATATCAAACAATCCATATATATATGTGTGTATGTGTGTATAGTTCGTGGGGTGATTATCAAATAACAATATTATTATCAAATTTATGATCTGATAAAGATAAAAAAGATAAAAAAGATAAAAAATATTGTGTTTCAAAAAAGACTAATTTGATTTTCAATGTTTCTTTGAATGTGTATCAAGTTTGGAATTCTCTATTAATCAATGAAAAATTAAAAAAAGAATTGATTTTCCAGATGCTACGCCTTTTTAAATTGCTTCTTTACTACAGAAAAATCATTTTTCATTACTATATTCAATATAAATATTTGATCATAAGGCGCTTACCAACAAATCCATAGATCATCAATATTATTATTTTATTTTTATTATTTACAACCATGCCATGTGAACAAAGCAAAGAAAAAACATAGCAATAGGAAATTAAATATTAATAGTAATTGTGATCACGTTTTAATTTGTTTATATTTATGTTGAAATAAATGAAGAATTCAGAAATGACAAAACCAAGAAAGTATTTATAATACTTAAATTCTCCTCAAAATTCGGTGATTTTATTTTTCACACTGATCAAGAAAAATAAAATTCTTGTGATCTTACAAAAATTTTTTAATTTACTTAATTTGAGAAATAAATAATAAGCTCTCACGGAAGATATAAAATTAAAATTTGCTGAATAAAGAAAAAAAAATTATGCCAAAAGCACCAAGGAACCAAAATGCTCATAATAATGATAAATCTTATTCCAAAGAAGCACCTACAAAATCAAATGAATCAATCCCACCAACATGTGGAATTTTTAAGTCAATGTTAAATTCTAATTATGTATTAGCATTTTTGATAGTAAAAAGTGACGAATCATTTATCATTGTTAATATATTCAATATTGAGCTGCGCATGCCCACGCTTGAAGACATTTATAATATTGCCGACACAACAAGCAAAACACGAAGTCCCAATGGATTTATTATTTTTCGTAAAGTAATTTCTAATTACTTTAGCTTAAGAGAAACTGCCAAAAAACTTAAATCAGTTGGTATAGTTTCAGCTCATGCGCAGCTTATGTGGAAATATTCCAGTGACGAGCTTCGGGACGCTTTTCAAAATCTTGCCAAACAATATCAAAAGGAATTTAATAGCAACGTTGTCGTTTACAAGCCATACAAGTATCCCGAAAGTCCTGGGAACAAAGGAGAAAAAATAAATGATGCTGTTGATGAAACTGAAGCGGTTGAAGATGTTGCGGCTGAAGATGTTGCTGATGAAGCTGAATCTAGCGCAGGCGCTAATGACGTTGAATTACTCGTGGATATCCATAATATTAATAATCCTAACCACAGCATCTCACTTTCTCAATATGGGGTAGATTGTTTATCATTATTAGAAGACCAACAACCTTATTACAATAATAATAACACACATTCAGTTCCTTCATCGCAATATTGCCAGATTACTTATGATGTATTAAATCAACAAAATCAACAATGTATTAATATGTTGTATAATACATCATACAATAGCATCCAGGAAGACCATACCCTAATTACAACCACCACAAACACTCCACTTGATTATATTGACATTCCTCATATTAATCCTCCTCGTGTAGGTTCTTATGACAGTTTATATAGTAGCAGTGATAATAGTACTCTACCGACTCCTTCCTCTTTAAATTGCCCTTTCTCATCGCAAATGCAAATGCAAATGCAACAAATTCATCAACAGAACACATCGCAAATGCAAATGCAACAAATTCATCAACAGGGCGCATTGCAAATTCATCGACATGACGCAGTTTATGATTACGATCAATATAACTTCGTTGAGATTCCGTCCGGAAAACCTTATCATGATTTTACTAATTATATTAATAATAACTATGGTGGTAATTTAAATAATTGGTCGGGATAGAAAAATTCTGGGTAAAATTCTGAGAGATTAATTTTTTGGGAAATGAGGATATTTATTTATTTATGTAAATGGGATTACCTTTTTTTTTTTTTAATAGTTACTAATTTACACACATTTTTTTCTTTTCTGCGATAATAAGAAAAAACACACATTCACAAACACTATTTTTTTAAATTTATCGTTCGTTTCTTTCGTAAGAAATTTTATATATACTCAATAATATACACTTTTTATTTCTAGAATTCGTGATTAATAAAATAAATAAGCAAAAAAAAAAATTTATATAAAATTTAAAAAAAAAAAAAAAAATTTCATAATATAATTTAATTTAATTTAATTTAATTTAATTTATTTTTTTATTTTTTGAATATTTAATTAATACGTTAAGAATTTAAAAAAGTTCTTTGATCTCTTTGTATTGATTAAATTTGTACTTGTAATATGTATATATATAGATGTATAAAATAGAAATAAATAAATAAAGAAATAAATTTTAACGTAATTATAGTTGTGTTGCGGGAAATGACCGAAATAAAAAATATTATATTTAGAATTTATTATTATTATTACTAAATATTATTATTATTGTTATTATTATTAGAACGGATGTTTCTTTAGGGAAAAAATTTGAAAAATAAATGTCCTTATTTATTACACAAAATTACAACTCCCGTTGAGTAATTGTTGTTGTAAGTAAATAGTGCGGGATATTTTTTTTTTTTCCTTGCTTCAATAAAAAAAACCTCCTTAATCAATATAATTAAAACAGGTCAATTACAATAACAATAACAACAATAATTACAAGAATCAACACAACGTTCAAATATAACATCAACATCATCATCATTTTATAATTTACATTTCCTTTTCATTATTATTATTAATTTTTTTACCATAGGCTCTTTTACTTGACCAATAAGTTTGAAATATATCAACCTCATTTCTGAAAGATCTGACATATTCACGATACTCGTCTTCATTTAAATTCATGAATGGTGCCAAGGTGACCTTTAATTGATTGAGTGCTTGGGACCAATCTTTTAAAGCTATTTCTCCTATTTTTTCATCCCAACTACCTAAAGGATGAAACAACTCTTCTGAATTAATATCTGATAATAAGTTTGTTGATTTTAATAATGGCTCTAATCTGGATGTTATAAGGGGATTGAATCCTTTAGACTTGTAGTACGATCGAACTAAATAATAAATTTTGTTTAGATAATGATGAACTTTTTACACAAGATTAAAAATGTCATGACAAATAAATTCTTTTTTCTTTTTTTTTTTTGCTTACTTGAAGACATTAGAATTTGTGTAGATGGTCCTTCGTTTTTACCCTCAGCGTCAATATCCATTATTTCTATATAACATCCTGGTTTTAAAATTCTAATCAAATCTGGTAAAATCTTTTCTTCCAATTCTTTTTCTAGAATCTCTGAAGTCATAAAACTCATATGAATAAAATCGATCGAATTGTCCTCAAATGGAAGTTCTTTTGTTAAATCACATTTTTGAAATGATACATTTTTAGGTTTATCAACTTTGGTTGGAAACGTCTTTTCATCTTGTTCAATCCCAATAAAACTTGCATCCGGATATTCTTTGGACATATCTAATATCCAAGATCCACTCCCACATCTGTGCATTAGATAAATGAATAAATTCAATTAAAAATTATAATTTTTAAAAATAACATAAAACTAACAGTAATAATTGCAATGATTATAAATTAACATATATTCACACGTACCCAACATCTATGACTTTTTTGCCTGGAGTTTTAAGTGATTCTTCGATTGGAGAAGAAAAATTGCTTTGCCAAATATATCTAAATAAATAATGTTGCAGTACTAACCTATCTTCTCCATTAACATTTTCTGGAAAAGGATATTTGTAATTAATTGGTTTTTTTTCGGATACTTCTGAACCTATACCCCTAGTAGAGGAATCTGAGGTATGTTTTGAAGAAATACAACCCATTTCTTTTTTTAAAAAAAGAAATAACAATAACAATAATGGTAATAAATATAAATAATTTAATTAAATTATGTATTCTTCTATATATAGGGAGGAGAAAAACAGAATGGAAATATAATTATTTTTATTTTAATTAGAAAATTATCCAAAATAAGTTATTGAATGTGACGCAGCAAAAATTTAAATTGATTATGATTGAGTCACAAAAAGATCTCGTCATATTCCCAAAAAGTATATTAATATATATAACCAATATACAATATAATCTCATGCATGACTGTGAATATCGTGTGGTAGATCTTTAAAATTTCATTGAAAAGCCTCCTTTTTGTTTTCTTGATATTCCATGTCATTTTCTAATAGGCATATTTTTTTTTCTATATATATCATTTTGAAAATATACTAATTAATTAACTTGTGTGGTGTTTTTGTGCAATGGGCTATTTCAAATAGTTAAACATCAAAGTCATTCTACCTACGTTTAGTGTCTGTCTGATCATCGTTCTTTTATTTCTGCAGAGACGAGACAGGTTCATTTGATAAAAGAAATTAAAAAAATTGGGAATTAGATTGAATGAACGGTGCACTTGTAAATTTCTTGATTTGTAAACCTTCAAGAGTGTAGTAATACTCTACAAAAATATCGAGAAACTGGTTAAAGATTGAAAAATGCCTAATGTTAAGAAAGGGCACATTAATTATTTTTTTGTCTAATGTGTGTACTCAAAATTTGATTTATTTATTATATTATATTGTACATTTGTTATATATATATATATAGTTTCCAAATTGAAATTTGGAAGATGTATTTGATAATATTAAATAATAAAAGTTGTACAATAAAAACCCATCCAACCAAATCATATCCTCCGAGAATATTTTAATAATAATTAATAATGATAAATAAATGGATTGATTATATACAAAATAAAAAAATAGATGATTAAAATGAAACACATACAATCAAGCCATTTTTAGGTCATTCTTTTTCATGAGCATGTCTTTGATGATATTGTAAACCATTAGCATTACGATAACTATTTTTACATCCAGGAACTGGGCATTTATAAGGTTTTATGGCAGAGTCTTGGGATTCCTCGTCATCATTATCAGCCTGATGACCGGATGTACCTTTTGCCTCTTTAATATGATATAAAAGACCATTGATGTTTTTATATTTTTTTGAACATCCTGGTAATGCACATCTAAAAGGCTTCTTGGATGAATCCAGATTAGGATGGGCTGCCTTCATATGATAATACAATCCATTTGGATTCGAATAATGGGAATTACAACCATCAGCACCACATGCAAATGCACGAAGCGCTTCAAGTTCTACGGTATTTGTTTGATCGTTGCTGAATCTGTTGTCATTGTAATTATCATTGTCATTTTCATTGTTGTCTTCGACATCATCATTGTCATTTTCATTGGCAATGATGTTATTTTTAATATGATTATTGATATTATTATTGATATTGCTGATATTTTTATTTAAATTGTTATTGTTGTTGATATTATTATTATTGTTGATATTATTGAAACTGTTGATGTTACTATTGATATTGTTAATATTATTGAAACTGTTATTATTGTTATTATTATTATTATTATTATTATTATTATTATTATTATTATTATGATTATGATTATGACTATTATTGAAATTGTAATTAAAATTGTTATTACTGCTAAAATTACTGTGATTATTATTATCAGTGAAATTATTATTATCGTTGTTGTTGTTGTTATTATTGAAATTATTTTGATAAATATCATCATCATGAATGACACCTAAATCATCTAAATTATCATCATCGTTAAAGTTCAACTGTGAATTTTGAACATTTGGTTGCACATTTGTATGTGGCGATGATAACAAAGATGCAATACTTGCCCCGCTGGATGAGGTAGATTGTAGAGGATCGGAAGAAAAATTTTGCAATGTATTTGAAAAAGAATTTTGTGAAATGTTTTGTGACATGTTTATATTTGGATGTAAGTTTAAAGATATATTATTATTGTTGTTATTGTTGTTGTTATTATTATTATTACTACTATTACTATTACTAATATTATTATTGGATTGTAAATTTTGTGAAAGTTTATTTGATTGTAGAGTTGAAGATAAATTTGTTTGGATATTGTTTTGTGGTAAGTTTCGTTGAATATTTGCTGAAACATTTGCGTGAAAGTTGTTGGTATTTATGTATGCTTGTAAAGAGGCAGCGTTGGTAGTGTTAGTATTATTACTATTATTATTATTATTATTATTATTATTGTTATTATTGTTATTATTATTAGTGGTAGTGGTAGTGGTAGTGGTAGTGTTATGTAAATTTGGCATTATATTTTGTTGTAAAGATATTTCAGAATTTAGATTTGATGAAGAAGGACTTGGGGTTATATCATTAGGCGTGTAAATTATCATATCTAATAAGTTATCTTTATTTGCCTTTTTAAGTCTTTGAATTTTTCTCCATCTATTACGACAATGTAATCCAGGACGTCCAGGAAAAGATTTTGCAATTTGTTGCCATTTACTACCAAATTCTCCATACCTTTCCAATAACAATTGATCTTCTTGTGGTGTCCATTCATTGTGATCAATTGAAGGATCTAGACATTCTTTCCAACGTTTTGCACATTGATCATCAGTTCTGCCAGGAATAGATTCAGCTACTTTGCACCAGACTTTTTGATGTTTTTCCACTGCTCTCTTCAACAGTTTATCTTCTTCTTCCGTCCAAGGACCTTTCCTCAGTGTAGGATCAAGTGAATGGAACCAGCGCTTTCTGCACATTTTATTTGACCTTCCTGGAACACAAGCAGCAATCTTTGTCCATCTTTCAGACCTATCACCGTAAAGTTGGACAGCTAAACGAAGCAAATTGTCTTCTTCAGCTGTCCATGCTGTCTTCTCCGAATTTTCTTTGTACTTTGGTCTAGAAGGTCGAGTTCTTGTTGAAGGAGGTGAAAGAGAAATAGGTGGTAAAATAGGTGGTAATGTATTTTCTAAATTA